ATTTTAAAAGAACTGCAGCTTTTGAGAGGCTGCTAGGGGAGGAACCCCTTGTGAGGAACAGAAAGCATAAAATTTAAAAGCTCTGGATACCTCCACAAAAGGCAACTAAGACCTGTGCTGTTAGAGTTTGCAGTTCATTTCATATGGTCTACACTCTATTCCCTCCTAACCAATCAAGCTCCTGGCTGGCATTCTGGAGATTCATTAAGCACCATACAAATACTCCAGGCCACACTGCCTCCAATGAAATCTTAAACGGAGCCTTTGCCAATTACTAGGAAAAAATTATGCACCAAATAGTTGGATTAGCTGTCCTTAGCTCCCTCTACAAAACTGAAAAAGTCTCCATTGTAGTACATGAACCAGACTCTGATAACATTCTTATGCTAAAGGAAAAAAGGCACTATCACTCTGAGAATGCAGGCTGACCATAGTTTTAAAGTCAGCTGAGTAACTATTATGTCACGGTCCAAGAATGTGCTTTTAATTGTAATTGACACACACAAATTACACAGTTAATCTGTGTGAATGCAAAGTTGCCAAGAAATTTAACATTTTAGCTCTTCCAGACTGGCGTCTGCACAGATGCAATCACACAAAGTAAAATATATTAAGTCCCCACTGCTCAGCGCAGTAGGTCTCTGGGGTGGGTAAGGTAAGTCGACTTGGTAAGTCTCATTTTCCTCTGAATTAAGTGATTGTCAGAAGGTGAATCACCCTTCCTTTCCCCCTGATTAGGTGTGCTGCAGTGCAAAAATTCTTATAAAAATACCTCTTTTGAGCATTAACATAGAATGGAGAAAGCAGTAGCAGCCTAGTACAGGGCTGCTGAAATTCAAGAGGAAGAGAGAGAAGAAATATTCACTGGATACCTTATGTGTGTTTGTATAGTACTTTTGTTTGTTCAAACAATTCTGCTTTATGACAAAGGCACTGAAAGATTCTGACACCACCTCTTGGGAGAGCAATCCACAAAGCTCTAAACAGCAGACAGTGCACCGCAGAAAATGTTTATGTTAGATCAGCCAAACTATAAAACTCTTGTAACACTTCTCTGAACCCAGCTTTCCAGTGTTTATAGATCGCTTCGCTATCTGAAAGACCCAGTTAGGATTTAAAATTTTAAAGGGTTAAAAAAGTTAATCTTTGTCCCTGCAAGTTGCCTACTCACAGCTCAAACCCCATCCTGCAGGGAAAAGCAGCATTGCCCTGGACCTCCTGGAATCTAGGCAGGACCTCCACGCTCCAAGCTCCAAGCTGCGACCTGCTAAAGTGATCAATGTTTTGATTTTTCACAGCTTTGAAAGCCTCTAACTGGCTTTTCCATTTTGGATCATTCCAAAGTCTGCAGCAAAATCATTAGTTTTATGATTCTAGGGGGAAGCGGGGAGAGTGGCAGTGGGCTATTGGTATGTGTGGGGGGTCACTTAAGTATTGCTAGTTGGTGGGAACTGAGATTCACTGCATGGAGCTTATAGTAGCATTTGCACTGAAATGCTGCCATTCCCCCTTCAAAATCTGGAAAGCGTGGAGGCTGGCTAGCCTTATACCACAGTTTCACTGCCTCTCCCGGGCTTCACCCAACCATTCCCTCTCTTTTGTCTCTTTACCCTCCCAGAATTCACCAATCTGTTGGAACACTTCTGCCACGTGTGAAGAGTTTTGGCAGACCAAATCCACATGCCTGAAGTGATGCCTACCAGCAAAGACATAAAAATTTTCAACATTTCAACCGCCATATTGGAATCATCTGCAGAATACCGAAAGAGCGCCCAGTTGGAGATTTCATAGAAATAACAGGCAATCACACAGGTTGCGGGCACTGTGTACAGGACTGAGAAGACCCCAATCTTAACCATGAGCCTTTCTAACTTGTCTGTCTTTGTCCCATCCTTTTGAAGATTCGACCGAATTTTGAACAAGGCCACCAAACCCGCAGCAATGAACAAAGTTCCGATCACCAGGTAAGTGAAGAGGGGAGCCACCACAAAGCCCGTAAGGGCGTCCAAGTTTTGGTTCCCCACATAGCACAGGCCGGTCAGTTCATCGGCATCCACCAGTCTCATAATCAAGATGACAATGGTCTTCACTGCAGGGATGGCCCAGGCTGCAATGTGGAAATAAGAGCTGTGCATTTCAATGGCTTCGTGACCCCATTTGAGTCCCGCTGCCAAAAACCAAGTGAGTGTCAGAATTACCCACCAGATGGAACTGGCCATTCCAAAAAAGTACATCAGCAAGAAAATGATTGCACATCCTGTGTTCTTAAGTCCTTCTTGGATGAGAACAGGTTCTGCTGCCTCTTCAAAATCGCAGGATATCCTTTCCCGGCCGACAGTCAGCCTGACAATATAAGCAATGCTATAAATATTATAGCACATACTGAGAAATATGATGGGGCGCTCCGGGTAGGAAAACCTGGAAGAATCGATCAGGAAGGTGAGCACAGTGAAGGCGGTGGAGATGAAGCACAGGCTGGCCCACACGGCCATCCAGATATCGGTGAACTCCTTGGCCGAGCGGCTGTGTAAGCCGGCATCGTAGCCACACTTGAGAACACAGTTCAGGCTCCTCTTCACCCAGATGTACTGATCAGAATTGGTTCCCACAGAATGGCACTCTTCCCCGGGCTGGACGGGGGTTTTGTGGGGTAAGGGCACCTCCTCATCACCTGGCCCTTCCATGCACATGTGGTTGTGGTCATTCTGTGGGGGGAACTTGCTGCAGTTCAGGCTCTCCGGCCAGGCAAATCCAAATTCCTTCAGGACAGGCTCGCAGCGTCTCTTGACAGAAAGACACATGCCGCCACAGGGGCCGATCGGGATGTTGACCTTCTCTGTGCACATCGGCACATACACCGAACAAAGGAAAAACTGGAAAAGTCACGAAATGAACAAAGAAAACAATGACTTGGAAGTTTGACCTAATGCTTGCACAAAACTGACTTGAATGCTTCTGAGCAAAGTACATGCCTACTTTTAAACTAGCCTATAGGGAGTTCAACTGTTGACTCTGACCTCAAACAAGCGTGCCTAATAATCCATCACTTACATACTTTTCTTCTTTTGGGTCTCGTAATCCTTTCCAGGAGAACATAGATAAATAATATATAAAAGGGATCCAAGGATCCAAAGAATTACATAATCCCTTTTTGCACAATACTTAAGGAAATAAACCTTAAGAAATGGACTTTGAGTCTCCCTCCCCTTTCAGCTACTATTTGAAAGAGCTGAACAGACTAATCAAATGACTCAGTCATTTAGGTGATGGAGTGATTTATTTTTAACCTCATACCTTTATAACCACAAAAATAAGTGTTAAAAAAATGTAGATCCAACTTTTCTCGGGTTAATATTCTCTTCTTTCTCTACTTTATGCCCTAAAATCACTTTTTAATCAGTCTCATATTGAAACAGAATATGTCCAAGTTGAGATACTATTAGACCCCAAGGAAAGGATGCAGGTTGAAGTCTTCTGGATACCAGGGGGTTTGTTCGGCCAGGTTTCCCCAATGAATAATAGTGAAGCACAATAGGAAAATATAAATGTTCAGTCCCTGAAACTGGAATAGCAGCAGGGGAGAGTCCAGTTGCTGTCCTCAATTCCTCCAGCATTGATAAACAGTCTGCTTGGCTCCTTACAGATGTTGTCTATGAAGTCTAGAGTTACAAGTAACTATTTTCCAGCATGTAAAGGGATCCAGTCCTGTCCTTCAAAACAGCTTGGCTGCCTCCCCAGGATACATGTAATTAAAAATATATATCCTTGCAAAAGCTGTTTCTTCAACAAAATTGCCACTGATGTCAGGATATGTGCTGTTTCCAAACTGAGAGCTAGAGAAGCATTTTCTTAAGCTTTTATAACCTAGTTCTAAAGTCCTGAAATTTCCAAAGGGACATTTCACCAGCGACAGGTTTAATCCCAACCATCTTTCTGAAACCACAATCCAACTTTTCCAATGACCTATGTAAAAATATGAACCTAGTAAGTAAGCTGCCTGCCTGTTTCTTATCTCTCAGAAGTTACAACCAGAACCACAGATTTCTGAAGCTTTTAGCCTGGATAACTATCCTCTATTTTTCTTTCCCAACTTCTCTCTTTTCTAAGTTTCTAAAAATCACTCATAGCCTTCACCAACCACAACACAACCAGTGCTAACATTTTTTAAAATTTCCTTTCAGTTTTTTTTTGCAATGAACTGATTGCTTTTGTAAGATTATAATCACCCTGTATAAGCAAATTCTTTCACTTCTTTATGGTAGGATGAATACTTTCTATATTATTACATAAGCTTTAAATTTTTTGAAGACTGTAAAAAAAAAAAACTTCCAGTATACAAACAAGCGTCTGGAGCTTGACCATACCAACACCTTTTTCCCAAGTGATGTCTTCTCTCCCTCCAAGCACTAGACCTGCCTTTAACCCTGAGAATAAGAAGGAACTCAAGCTACAGCAACCATTCCTTTCTGCATGACCTCTAAAATCTTGCGGGACGACGCGAGAGGCCATTCTGCAGAAAACGGGGCAGAGGTGTTTCACTAAATAACATACCCAAAAAATATGGGGGAGAAAGGAGGTCGGTGAGGGAGGAGAAGTTCTCGTCTCCTTATCTCTCCTTCCAAGTCTTAGCTGCAGCTGGCTGCCCCGCCGGGGACTCGCCCACCGAGCAGCGGCGGCCAGAATCCTTGGCAAAGATAACTCTGAACTCCACTGGGGTTAGGGGCTTGGCCAGACTCGGGTGGGCAGGGGAGAAAAACGGAAGGGCGGGGTGTAAGAGTGGGTTCTTTCGCAGGCCAGATGACTTACACAACATTTTGGCTCCCAGTCCCTGAGAAGGGACAGAAAAGTGGGGGTGGGGATGGAAATCACTTTTCCAGGATAGTTACACCCTTCAGCCTAGGAAGAGGACAGGGGGCTCGACTTGACAAGGGCTCCACGGAGATAGTTTGGGGCGTCCCTGCCCAAGGGGACCCGCCCGGGGTGGGGGTGGGGGCGCCCACCTGCAGCTGGCTGGAGCAACCGTACTGGATGAGCGGCGTGAAAGTAGTCAGCTGCAGCTCAGCGTCCGTCTGCAGCTCGTGCCCCACCAGGTTGGGCATCTTGGTCACGTTGTAGCCCAGGTTCTGGCACATGGAGATGCGGATGGGGTCGCAGCGCCGCTCCTCCTCGTCTCCGAAGCCCCGCGCCGGCCCCAGGAGCACCAGCAACAGCAG